TTACAGGAAATTCTCTTGGATATAAATTTAGTAAGAAAAGAGCATATGAAACAAACTAAAATGATCTTTTACTTGAAATTCACTTTTAAAAAAATCTCTGAACTTCAAATGGGTCCTTTTTGAGTGACAGCTGAGGAAACTCTCTTAAAGGAACTTTTTAAATTCCTGCAGATAAGGGCTCTGGTCCCACTACCTATAATTATGTGTAGAAAAAGGAGGCTAAAGTCCAAAGTCTGCAAGTTTGGGTTGGATAGCGGATTTCAGAGAACATTTGAGGGTTCTCTGGTTGCATCAGTGGCATCCATCATCTGTGTATTTGTCTGCTCTTCAATAAACACATTCTAAAAGCTTATTGCATGTGAATGAGGTAGTCACATTTACTTTTGCAAATGATGCAGTAAGTGGATGTGTTAATTCTTTTAGTTTGTCCCCAGAGCCAAGGGGAGGGGTGGACTGGGGTAAGGCGAGGGCCTGGTTGGGGCTGGATTGTGAAAGGTAGGAAGTAACAACCAAATCACCACCTTGTAGCCTCAGCAAATTTATAGAATGACTTGTCCCTGCTGCCCCCTGGTGGTGAGATCAGAGAATGAGTTCTTCCTGCTTTGCCAGGCAGTGGGGAGACTCAGAATGGAAAGCGGATTGGCTTGAGTTTCATAGTAACATTTCACGGAACTGATTATGAAGCAAAATGTGAATGCTGCCTGAGAAAGTGGCTGTGAAGGGTGGTGAAGGGGTGATTTGGCCAACCATTCGTCTACCTTTCCCATTGAATGTACCTACCATACCCTCCCTGGTGTGGTCCCTGGGTTTAGAAGGGAAGAAAGGTTTATAGCACCAGCCAGCAGCATTACCAAGTCAACAGCACTGTTTAGAGGCCCATCGTGTGTGTAGAGAAATCAAGTCTTCCGAACAGATTCCAAAACCATTTAGACTGGTGATGTGTGCTTACAAAATAAAGTACTTTTAATAATCTGGAGTTAGTGAACAGTTTTCAGTATATTAATGATTAAAATAGATCCCTATCTTAAATCATATATTAAAAATGTATGTGCTCATGCACTTGTGTTGTGTTTGTGTGCACCACGGTGTGTCTGGAGATCAGAGGTGGGGTTTCAGGAGGCAGTTTTCTCCTTCCACCTCATTGAAGCAGGGCCTGTTTTGTTTTCAGTCCCTTTACCCATTGAGCTGTCTGTCATACCAGCCTTAGTTTTTAAACTGCAAGTAGACTATGTACATTATTTTAGTGGTCAGACATGAATAGTATCCATTTGAGTATGCATATGTACTTTAAATTTGTACTCTAAACAAATCTCACAGAGATCCGCCTGCCTCTGCCTCCTGAGTGCTGGGGTTAAAGGCGTGTGCCACCATGTGCCCGACATGGCAACTCTTATAAATATTTAATTGAGGCTGGCTTACAGTTTCAGAGATTAAATCCACCGTCGTCATGGCAAGCAGCATTGTGGGATGCAGGCAGACATGGTGCTGCAGAAGGAGCTGAGAGTTCTACATTTTGATCTGCAGGCAGCAGAAAGATACTGGGTGCCACACTGGGTGCAGCTTGAGCTTATAAGGCCTCAGTGCCCGCCCCCACAGTGACACACTTCCTCCAACAAGGCCACATCTTCTAATAGTGTCACTCCTATGACCAAGCATTCAAACACAGGAGTCTATGGGGCCATTCCTATTCAAACTACCACAGTCCACTTTTTAGTAAAGTCCACACGTCACATGTTAGTGTCATCTAAGATTAGTGATCACTTGAAATGAATGGACATTGAACAACACAAACATTTCTTACTATATTTGTTACATGTGGTGATATTTTGATATCTAACAAATAAAGCTTGACTGAAGATTAGAGTGAGGAGCTAGTCACTAGTCAGTCGTAGAGGCCAGGCAGTGGTGTCAAACACCTTTAAACCCAGTACTCGGGAGGGAGACAGAGGCAGATAGATCTGAGTTCAAGACCACCTTGGCCTACACGAGATTGATCCAGTCTAAAAGAGAAACAGAGTCAGACGGTGGTGGCTCACACCTTTAATCACAGCACTAGGGAGGTGGAGACAGGGAGGAATATGGCTGGGAGGAGAGAGGAATATAAGATGGAAGGAGATAGGAGCTCACTGCATTCAGTCTGAGGATTCGTTGAGATAGGCTCTTGCCCCCATGGTTCTGAGGATTTCATATAGAAGTAAGAACTGGTGTGGCTGCTCTGCTTCTCTGATCGTTCAGCTTTCACCCCCCCCAATGCCTACCTCTGGGTTTTTATTATTAAGACTAATTAGAAATTGCACTACAGTTCCTTCTCTATTACCATGACAAAACACCAAGATGACTTATAAGGAAAAACATTTAATTAGGCTTACAGTTTCAAAGGGCTAGACTATCATACAGGGAGCACAGCAGCAGCAGCAGGTAGGCATTGGTGCTGGAGCAGTGGCTGAGAGCTCACTTCTTCATCACAAACAGGAGGTGGAGAGAGAGAACGGGGAATAGCAGTCTTTTCGAAATCTCAAAGCCTGTCCCTCCAACAAGGCCATATGTCCTCATTCTTCCCCAAACAGTTGTTTGGTCACAGTATTTTATCATGGTAACAAAAAGTAACAAAAACAGCCAGTGATGATGGGGCAAAGGTGTGGTAGCAAGGATGACTGAGGGCTCACATCTTGATCTATAAGTAGGCAGAGAAAGAGAGGTACACAGAATGGCGCTGAGCCTATTGAAACCTCAAGCTCACCTGCCCCCAATGACACTTTACCTTCAACAAGGCAACCTTCTAATCATTCCAAAACAGTCACCAACTGGGGACCAAGTATTTAAACATTAGCCCATGGGGCCATTTTCATTCAAACCACCATGCTTGAAAGAGTTATTATATAATTTAAGAGTTAAACATCGGAAACATCCCTTTGGTTGGTTAGGGGAGTTCGAATCATCCCCAAACAATATAGGCTATTGCCATTGCCCTTGCCCTTGCTTCTCTCCCAGAATTTGAATATAAGTCCCTATTGCTGATGCCACCACAAGCTTTAGATTCAGGACTTGGAGGAACTGAACTGGGTCTGAGCTAGAAGCTTCTCCCTCCCTGGACTAGCTTTCAGAGTACCAGACGGTGCCATGCAAAGTTGCCAAGGAAGAAGAGCAATCAATAGTCCTATCCAGATGTGACACCTATGAACCACAATGACTAGAGCAGAATTCAGTGAAGCAGAGGCCATGGAGGGCATGCTTACTAGCTTGTTCCTCATGGCTTCGTCAGCCTGCTTCCTATACAACTCAGGACTACTTTGCCCAGTTGTTGGCATGGCCCGCAGTGGGACAGTCCCGCTAACATCAATCATTAGCCCCACAGGCTTGCCCACAATCTTGTGGTGGCATTTTCCCTTGAGGCTCTTTCTTCCCAAATGACTAGTTTGTGTCAAGCTGACAAAACTGGCCAGAGCAATTGATCTCTTGTCAATGGGACACACAAACACATTACTATTCAACTACAGGCTTTAGTGATTATTCCCAAAATCTCATATTCATACCTCATGGATGTGGAAAGTTGATATGAAGTGCAGTGGGTTGGGGGAAGGCAGTGCAAAGGAACCTGTGGGTCAGCACTTACATCTTGGAGGTAACCAAGCTTAAGGCCCACTCAATAGGAGGTAAGTCATGCCTGGTAATGTAAATCTAGCCAACTACCCATGGCCATAGAACCTAGGGGAAGACCTACTAATGCCACTTCCTTAAGTCAGTTGTCTTAGTGAGGGTTTCTATTGCTGTGAAGAGACACCATGACCACGGCAACTCTTATAAAGAAAAACATTTAATTGGGGTGGTTCACTGACAGTTCAGAGGTTCAGTCCATTATCACGGTGGGACATGGCAGCGTGCAGGCAGACATGGTGCTGGAGAAGTAGCTGAGGGTTCTACATCTTGCAAGCAACAGGAAGTGGTCTGGAACACTGGGTATCTTGAGCCAAAGAGACCTCAAAGCTCACCCCTATAGATTCTTAGCTCCTCCAACAAGGCCATATCTACTCCAATAAAGCCAAAACTCCTAATACTGTCACCCCCTAAGAACTTATAGTAGCCAATTACATTCAAACTCCCACACCAGTATCTTTAACTGCATTCTACATGCTCACCTTTACAACCACAGGTAAGTGTAGACCACCCCTCATCTATCTATCTATGTATCTATCTATCTATATTTAATATATATTTATATTAACTCATCTTTTAAAACAAAATTTAAAGAGAAACTAAAGAATAATATTAAAATGTCCTAAAAGGTATAAACATTAGAATGGGTAAAGGCTCCAAAGACAAAAAAACTGAATTCAGAGTTGAAACATAAAAATGGCCTGGCATGCCAAAGGGCAGATACTCACAATCCTCCAGCCTCTGACATTATAAGATGTAATGTTTTAAGACCATCCCACATTATAAACTATTTCCCAATGATGATGATGCCACTATGTTGGGTCAAACACGTTCCTCTGAAAAGCACCTTTAGAAGTGGTGGTCAAAGAGCCGCAGATAACCCAGTGGTTCCCACCCTCCGGCATCTGCACCGTTGTGTGCCATCCTCTTACCCCTTAAGTATGCAAGAGACCCACGTCTTGCTTGCTTCTAATCAAAACCTAAAAAAAAAGAAGTGCTGGCGAATCATCCATCTTGCTAGCAGTCTCTATGGTTCTCCTTCACCTTTACAGAGCAAGCAGCCAGGTTGTGGCCTGCTTAAGGAGAGTGCACGTGGTAGGAGAGGGTGAGCAGTCATCTGCCCACCAGCCAGCCAAAACCAAATGAAGCCTCAGATCTATGGTGCAAGAAAAAGAATTCTGCCAACTGAGCATGGAAGTAGAATCCCTCAGCCAAGCCTCGCAATGAGATCACAGCCCTAGATTGCAGCTTTTGAGCCCCAGAGTAGAGCACACATCACTCCTGTGTTTCAGTTCTTGAGCCACAGACAATAGGATTAATAATAAATATGTGGTGTTTCAAGATGCTAAATTTATGGTAATTTATTATACAGCATTGAAAATACAGAAATCTTAATATGCAAAAATGGAAAACAAGAAAAGTAATATTGAGTTACTGGCCACATGGAGTATTTATTAGTGAAGATCCAAAGGTTAGTCTTCAATGCTCATTTCCATGATTTTTAGAGTTGGTAATTGCTTGTCATGATTACTGCCATCTTTGATGCTGGGGAACTGAACAGATGGGGACAGTACTGTGCTAAGACAACATAATTCCCTGGAAGTCTCAGCCCCTTCATAGTCACTGTCATCTTCAATGACATCCACAGAGATTTCCTGGTCTATTAACCTGTCAGAAATACTTGGATTGTTTTCATCCAAGGCTGAGGCCTTAAGATCTGTCTCATCGCTGACCTGTTGAACTATAACACCTTCGGAATCCTTGAATTTATGGACAGGTATTAAAAATTCACCCGGTAAAGAGAACAACTTGTTTTCATCCTTCGGCACAGACGACAACATGTCCAGAGCCTCCTGGAATTGCTGACGTTCTTGCTCAATTACTGTATCATCATTACTTGTATGTTCATTTGGTTTTGAAATCAGAGCCTTTTGAAAATCAAGTTGATTCAACATTCTGAAATCACTCTGCTTTGCTGGCTCTTCCTCAGATATGCAGCCTAAGTCCACCTTCAGGCCATGTAGCAGGTAGCGCATTTTCCCCTAGGATTATGGAAAGGAATATGCAATTATGAGGATCATTATATTAGCTAAGTTAATAAACTAAACCACGTCTGTGTACAGTGCTGATAGTCTCAGAGGATTAATACTTCCACAGCCCCTGTGCCCCTTTCCCTCACAAAAAGCACACAGGGAAAGTACCTATTTTAAATGAGCTCTTTTATGGTCTAAGCAATGTTTTACAAAAACAAAAAATTCTAAAGAAAGACAAACCTCCTCCAAATGATGTTTATTTTGTTTTATATGTCGTTCAAACAGCCGTTCTAAAAACCTACAAATGATCAAGAAAAATATTAACATCTTAAAATCAGATAAGTCATTCAATGTAAAATAGGTACATAATATAAAAGCTGACAAGGGCTGGAAAGTTGTTTCCAGATGAATCCTTTTCTCTGTGCAGCTGGAGACCAATCTTTCCTGTTATCTACTTCTCTAACCTGGCAGGCAGTCTGCCTTTGGCTACACATCTAAGTTATATAATAGATACCGGTGTATCTGAAGAACTGAGTATTATTTCTGTTTCTGTGAGTGTTTTAGGTGAGACACAACACAGACACCAAAAGCTCCCTGTGCTCCTTCCCCACACCCTAGAGAAAATGATCTCATAGAGCTGGTTCACCGTGGCTCCTTAAGTATACACTCCATTGATGATAGGTCCATGACCTTCAAATGAATGCCAGGTATTTATGCTAGACATACAATCTGCCTCTGCCCACCCCTGACAACGTCTGCTATGAGGCTCTAGCTGGCCTGGAACTCTAAGCAGATTGGGCTGACTTGGAACTCAGAGGTCTGTCTCCTTGCTGGGACTAAAGGCCTGTGCCACCAGGCCTGGCTCACAGGAACAGTGTTACCTATTTCCCTGCCAAAGCCAGGGTATGAAGGCCCTGCAAAAACTGTGTTACATCTCTAGGATGAGATTCCTTTCCCTAAAGTCAGTCACGAGCCCTTCAGAGAATTTAACTCAGATGAGACTGGCCTCAGGGACTGTATTCTTTCCACACCAGGCCCAGAATCACACTAACCTATCCACAGGTTTCCGGAAAACAACAACTAATTTCCTTGGCCACTCAAGTTACCATGGTTCATACTTTTCAGTAGAATAGGAGGTCTGGATTATTCTGTCATTTTTAAAAGATCAAGAAACTTGTATCCTACTCTTTATAGCTACTGTTCACATTCTGGAATATGTGCACCGTGGCTTTTTTCTGTGCTTATGTAGGTGGGATTAACTAATACATAATCAGGTACACGCATGTGTGTGCACACACATACACTCTCTGATCAACAGATGCACTTCGAGCATCCTTCAGGCTGAGGATACCTATTCTTGCACCTTCTAGTTTCTTTCTCAGGATGGTTCTATGTTTAGTTTTATGAACCAAAGTTAAATCTTAAGAGGAAAATATAAACGTTTAAGGAAAAATGTAAATGCTATGTAAAACTTTTTGGTTTTGTGGTTAAAAAAAACATAAAAGTTACCATTTTAGCCATCTAAAATGTATAGTCCAGTAATGCTCAACATATCTGTTCTACAAAACTCCTATGCAACTCTTAAAATTAATAGTTTGTATGTGCATGTGTGAGCGTGCATGCCTGTGTGTCCTCAAGGTCAAGGATCATCAGTGTCTAACATTCTCTGCCTATTCTTCTGTGGCAGGGTTCTTCTGAGCAGAAAACCCAAGTAATCCTCCAGTCTGCCCACGCTCCAACATCCAACAGCCCTGGAGTTATAGCCCTGCATGAGACTCACTTGGCTCATTATGTGGGTGCTGAGATTTGAACTTGGGTTCTCATGGTTGCATAGCAAGTGCTTTTAAACACGGAGCCATTTTTCCAGCCCCCATCAAACATTTTTTATTTCAAATGAAAAGAGGTATGTCAGTATTGGCACACGCCACTGGTCTTTTTATTCCAATAATAAAGTGTCTTCCTTCATTAAAAGGTAAACCCTGATAAAGGGCTAGAAATAGCCACTGCAATGTCTGCAGTTGTGTGTAGGGTGTGCTGTGCAGTCCTATGCTCTGCGACATGAAGTGGAATCTAATGCTCAGTGGATTGTAGACAGAGCAGTACTTGAGATGCACTCAGCACACAGCTTCCAAAAGCAACACATTTTGCAAACTCTCCATTTCATATAAGTATAGAAAGAGCTTTTTTTTTGTCTTTATTAGATCTTATATGTTGTAGTAAAGATGTTGTGGGTTGATAAGATGGCTCACCAGGCGGAGGTACTCGACAGCAAGCCTGATGATCCGAGTTCAATCTCCAGGACCCACCTGGTGGAGAGAGACTCCCATAGGTTGTCTTTGGACCCTTACAGTATGCTGTGTTGTGTGAATTCACACACACACACACACACACACACACACCCCTTGACAGCATGCTGTGGCGTGTGAACACACACATACACACACACACACACCCCTTGACAGCATGCTGTGGCGTGTGAACACACACACAGACACACACACATAAATGTAATAAAATTTTGAAAGCTTGTTTTTGATTCCCATAAGAGGTTGTGATAGCAAAGTGGAATTGCGGAGGTTTTCCAAAATGGTAGCAAAAATTAAATTCATTATACAGTTTGATATAACTAAGATATAATAATACTTAAATAAAAAAAACTCTATTGTTTTCTGTAGTGTATGGATGAAAGTCTTTATAATTTACAATCAATTATAAAAATATAATCATAAGAAGCAACATAACTTTTTATATAATAACTAATAAGTAACTTTGTATGAAAAATATTCAATGTACATCTCAACTCCCATACACATTAAAAAAATCTCTAACCTGTTGGAAAATAAACCAAGTTTCAAAATTTCATCTGTCACATTTTCCATGAAGTCCAGGTAGAGCAGCTCCTCTTCACTGCAGAGGAACACAAGCGCGTCAGAACCACCACACAGAAGGGAGGTCACCACACAGGGACTGCTGCCCGTGAGTACAGCAATACTATAAACAAATCTGCTTTCTCATGTTCAAAAAGGAAGACAAAGAAGTGAGAAAATATCACCCAATGGAGTAAAATTTCATCTTTGTGGAACATTCATAACAGCAAAAAAGACAAAGAGGCCCCCAGGGAAGCAGGAGCATGATGTTTATGGAGCCCTGCTCAGCATCTTGTGTTCAAGTTCAAAATCCTTATAAAAAAGAACTTCTAATAGGCAAATTTGTGGATGAAAAAATGTAGTAGTAATTTTTTAATTGGACACATTTCTTATGATATACTACTTCATGCCTAACTTTTATTACCTACTACAAGAAAGTTAGGATACTACAGTCATTGATTCTAGTTACCTCAAACTTAGGAATGAATGGAAATGCCAAGTTCTTACTCAATTGGAGACTAACTGGGGACGGGTGGTTGTGTAAACCGGTGTGTTAAAAACCAACCCATAGGAACTTGCTTATGAACAAATAAATGAAACTATAAAACACACTATTTTCCTGAAAACTGTAACTTAAGAATGTACCGTAACCACTGAAAGCAATGACGACACAGTCTGCAAAGAAGCGGAGCAGCCACAAACCTCCCAAGAGGCCCGCGAGCTCCAAATCCTTTCCTGTAGGGTTCTTTACTAGTTTAATTTATAAAAATAAGCAATTATTAAAAATTATTAGTAGATATTATTAACTTAGGAACACATTTTCACTAAAGATAAGATGCCCGACAATTTGTCCATCAGCATGGATTAAATGATTGATACTGCAGAGCTGGGTGTAAGGAGATGAGCTCCCATCTTAATTTATCAGGCTTTCCTGAATCTTAATTCTGCTTCCCACTCAAGTAGAAAGAGGTCAGAGTGATCTTACTCAGGGTAGATTTTACTGTCTGAAGAAAGCTGTGTAGAGAGCTCACAGAGTGTCCTAGAAAAAGAGAAAGGAAAAATGTTCTAACAACAGCAATAAAGGTAGGCATACAAAGATTCCATGACTGATATTCTGTCTACATTAGTAATTATATGCTTTGAAATTTCTAAGTATTTTCCTATCTGTGATTTAGTTCTGTGGAAGTGTGCATGCATGTGCTGTTTGGGCAATGAGTTTCAAGGACAGAGTTGGTACTCAACCTACTATAGTCTTAGAAATCAAGATGTCCCTGGTAAAGGGCTAAGGAGGAAGATGGGCCCTCAAGGGTCTGTGCATTTTCTTCCTGTCTGCTCCAAAACATGTCCTCATTCTCCCCTTGTGAATACTCTTCTCCCCTCATCTCTTATCCAGTCTCCTACACTGGAAATGCAATTGACAGCCAAAGCTTGCTGGCTCACATGTTTGCTAGGTGTGATGACACAGTCACCAGGCATGGGACCCAGTGCTAAAGAGCATCTCCCAACAGGAAAGCAGACAAACCCTGGCATGTGGAAATGTTACACATCACAAATTTTTGGCTCTTGAAATTTTTTTTAAAGATTTTTATTTATTTATTTTGTTTACAAGTGTTCTGTCTGCATGTATGCTGGCAGGTCAGAAGAGGGCACCAGATTTCATTACAGATGGTTGTGAGCCACCACGTGGTTGCTGGGAACTCAGGACCTCTAGAAGAACAATCAGTGCTCTTAACCTCTGAGCCATCTCTCCAGCCCCCAAGGCTTTTGAAATTTTTATTAATTATTGTGTGTGTGTCTGAGTGTGGACAACTTTCAGGAGTTACTTCTCTCCCTCTCTCATGGGTGCTGGGGAGCAAACTGTTTATCAGGCTTGCATGGCAAGCACTTTGGGAACCAGCCTGTCGCCTCCAAGTCACACAGCGCATCTAATGGTGAGGTCAGGTTCTTCAGCACTGTTGGTGGCATAGAAACTGGCTAACATCACTGCCAGAGGATGGGCCTTGAAGATAACCTTCTCTATCTAATATGAGGAGAAATAACAGCTACTGCACACTAGCATCCCTTTCCCTTTGTTAATACATTAGCACAACTGATTCTAACCTTTACTAACAGTGCCACACAATTGTGTAATACTAAAATACATTAGCACATGGAATTAAAACAGTACTTAGGGGAAATGCTGTGCGTCTACTACACAGGAAAGCAAATGGAAGCAGGGTTTTACTCTGAGACCTAGGTTAGCCTTAAGCATAGAATGATCCTCTTGCCTCAGCGCCCCAAATATATAAGGCACCACTCACTTTTGGGAGGAATGCTGCAGAGTGCCATCTTTAATCCTGTCCCATCCTAAATTTTGTCCTTGTGAAGGTAAAGGAGAATTTTTGTCCTCAGTACCATTTACCATGTAATTAAGTGCCTGGAAGTGGTACAAAAAGAAGAAATTTAATTTTGTTTCAAAACTATGTTCTGAAAGAAAACAGCAAATATTAATGAAAATAAATACAAAAAGTACCTGATATATTAAAACAAACTAACAAAAAAGAATAGCCTATCCAATCAGCATTTTACCCATGTTAATAAGAAGCATTTTAAATGGCATTAGGAAATCATAAATAACAGACTGTGGAGGAGTCTGCACCTGTGACCCCAGTATTGATAGGATGAAGCATGAGGTCACAGTTCACGGGTCACCTGGGGACCCGGGAGAGAGGCTCATCACCATGAGCGGTCCACAGTCATACACCTTTTACATTTTTATTTTATTTTATTTGAGACAAAGTCTCACTATTCAGCTCTGACTATCCTGGAACTTGCTAATGTAGGCCAGGCTGTCCTTAAATTCACAGAGATCACCTGTTTCTGCCTTCCAAGTGCTGGGATTAAAGGCGTGTACCACCATGCCTGGTTAGCCACACCACCCTGAAAGTGCCCCATCTTGTCTGATCCTGGAAATGAAGCAGAGCTGGTCTGGTTAGTAATTGGATGAGAGACATCACCCCTACACATAATGTGTGCATACCCACATCAAAAAACAAAAACTAACAAAGGTAAGAACAGAAACCCATGAAAATGATACAAATTTGCAGCTTTTAAGTAAATTTGGGGAAAAAATTCATTGACTACATTATTAAAAATTCAAAAGCACATCTGTTTCAAACACCCACTATGTCACACATGAAAGCAGCTGTAGTAGCAATGCATATGGGCAAAATTAACAAACAAAACAATGGCACATTACTTGAACAGATTTCTTCTGATGTATCACAAATAATATCTTATTTGCATTCATCTTTACAAAGTTATATTTTGTTTTCAAACAGGTCTCCTGTAGCTCAGGCTGGCCTTGAAATTCTGTTGTGCCTAATGATGACTTTGACCTTCTGATCATCCTGCCCCTAACTTCTAAGTACTGGAATTACAGCCATGTACTGCTGGGGCTAGTGAGATGGCTCCATGGTTAAGAGGACCAAGACCTGGTTCCCAGTGCCTACCTGGCTACTTGTAACTTCCTCAACTCCAGTCCAGCAGATCCAGCACCCTCTCCTGACCTCCTTGGACACCAGCCATGCATATGGTACACATAGATGTAGGTGACCACACAGATGCAAAGGTGGGCCAGCCTGGTCTACATAGTGAACTCCTGAACATCCAGGGTTACTTAGACATACCTTGTCTCAAAACAAAACAAACAGAACCCAAACAAACAACTACAAAAATAGAAAGGAAGAAAGAAAGGAACAAGAGGTACTACACTGTTGGGGCTAGAGAGGTGGCTCAGCGGTTAAGAATACTGTACTGGCTGTTCTTCTAAAGGACTCAGGTTCAATTCCCAGAACCCACATGGCAACTCACAACTGTCTGTAACTCCAAGATCTGACACCCTCAGACATACATGCAGGCAAAACACCAATGCATATAAAATAAATAAATACTTTTTTTTTTAAAGAGGCACTACTACACCAAGTTCATACTTTGTCCATGCTAGGCAAGTACTCTACGAAGTAAGTTATATTCACAGGCCTACAAAGCTGATTCATGCAAAATGCTGGACAGTTCTAAAAGTGTGATTAAACTACAGAGCTACTGCAGTTACTGTTTCACCAGCTTTCTCAAGCCCAAGACTGCTGTGAGCAGCCATTTTTCTGGAAAGTAATGAATGAACATTCGGAATGCAATGGAATAAACTGGGATTCTTCCAGTTTCATTTGTCACCAGAAGGAATGTTATGAAGCTGAGACTGATGTATGATGTTTGTGTGAGTGCGGGCATGAGCCACCACAGAACACACGTAGAGGGCAGAAGACCACGTTTGGGAGTCAGTTTTCTCTTTCCACAGTGGACTCCAGGGAACTCGGGGCGTCACACTTCTGTGCTAAGCACTTTTATCTGGGGAGCAGTCTCAGCTGCCCTGCGTTAGCTTACTTAGTTATCTACAGGCCTATCTCTTTTCATTAAATCCAGGTGAAAAGAGGCATTGTTTATCAAGCCCTTCCCAGGCTAGAACTATGCCCGCTGTGCCTTCTCCCAAGGACCCTGTGGTAAGTTAGTCTTTAGGAAGACACTTAGCTTTCAGAGGCTGTTTTCTCCAAGAACTCTAAGCGGTCCCCCTGTCAAAAAACTATCAGTGGCTGAGATGTAAACACATAAGTTTCTACCCATTTTCAGAAAGAAAAAAAGAAGTTGAGTGTGATTATACTTAATTTTGTATCCCTGAGTCTGTGTTTGACATTTAAACATGCAAACCATATTCAGAATTAATGCATATAGGTTAGAACATAATCCATGGTTGAAATGACTCAAATTAAATGACATATTTAAAGCTAAGATATATTAAAATAAATCACTGCTAAACATTTAAGATACAAACAATGTAATAAAGTTCATAAAAGTAAAGTCAAATGTAAGAGAATGGTATCTACTGATTCCCTTAGGATGTATGACTTGTAACATAGGCATTGCCAACGTGAACTGCTATATAGGTAGCTTTGGCAGCACCTTTAGGACCTTGTCTACTTTTCTGTGTGTGCCGTTGCGGGGTGGGTGCTGTGGTACTGAACACAGTCTTGCAAATGCTAAGCAATTTCTCTAACACCAAGCTATAGTTCAGTCCTTCGTTGTTTTGAGACACAGTCTTGCTAGACAGCTTAGGCCAGACTTGAATCGGCTGTATAGTCCAAGATGGCCTACTATTCATGATCCTCCTGCCTTTACCAAGTTTTGGAATTATGGGCAAATGCCACTATACCTGGCTCTCAGAATCTGTACTTTTGAAAATGTCATTAATATATTTTATTCACCCACCTGTTTAGCCAACCAGTCAGCCAGAGAACCACTCAGGTGCTAATAACAAATGACTCCCTAGAAATGGTAGAATCCATCTGACCATTCAGAGAGCACATTCAACACCTTCGCACGCTGACTACATTCCATTTCACTCTTGATAGTCCAAACAGCTGTCTACATTCTACATAAGTCAAATCATCTGAAACTCAGAAGGCACCAACAGAAAGACCTCATGGTTACTACCTGTTTTATGTTCACTTCTGAGTCCTCTGAGTTCTTTGTCTCTGCTGTCCCAAACTCAGAATTAAAGCTGTAACATTGACAAAGAAATGATTGTTACTCCTTTATATACACAGTGACAAGCTTTACTATTAAGAAAAAGGTATAGATTCGGGCAGTGGTGCCACATGATCTTAATCCCAGAACTCAGGAGGCAGAGGCAGGCAGATCTTTGTGAGTTTGAGGCCAGCCTGGTCTACAAGAGCTAGTTCCAGGACAGGCTCCAAAGCTACAGAGAAACCTTGTCTAAAAAAAAAAAAAAAAAAAAAAAAAAGAAGAGGAAAAAAAGGTATAGTATAATGGAAAGAAATCCACTTATTTACTCTTACAAAAATGTGTAATTTTTAATTATAGATCTGGAAATAGACAAGATTTGATTCACATATACTTCTTTTTTCTTGCTTGGAAAATAGATTTCAGTTAAATATACAATGGGCTAAGAGAAATGAGACTATCCTTTTAACATTTAAAAAGATATGAAACTTAATCTCTTCATTTCTTTCTTTCCTTCTTTACTGATTAAACTTGTTCTCCACAATTTCAGACAAATCCATAGTTCATTCTATTTACTCTCCCCACCCACCCTGTCCTAGCCCCTTCCTCCCGAAGTGTCCCTTTCCTGTACTCATGAAAATATGAATGCACCCCAGTTTGTGTGCCACCCTTGCACAGAGCCATGCCATCTTCAGTCTCATTTCAATTTTTGTATCTGTGTTGTCAAACCCAGCAATGACTTCTTTATTTCTCCTCTGGTTGTGATTTGTTACAGGTCCAATTCCTTTTGTAAATTAAATCCATTTGCCATCATTGCACCTCTTCTCCACTCATAAAACTAGTATTGCAACGTTTGATTTTTGAATAACTAAAGTCTAGTATGCAATAAATTACAATCACTTGGCAAAGATACTGAATATCATGAACCATCCACTACAGAAATCAAAGTCAAGGTGAATTCTAATTTCCAGATGTCCCCTTCACTGTCGCGCCTGCAGCTGTTACTACCCAGGGTGTGGACATGCGCTAGGAGAGACACAGGGAACAGGATAAATGTTTATTTTCCCTCCTGGGACTCACTGGTTTGCCACTGTTAACACGAATATTTATTTACATCAATGCTGTCTGATAATGTGTCTTAAGACTTCTCTGAGAACATTTAGAAACACACAGAAGTTGGAGAGCTGTGCTTACAACTCATGCAGCACTCATTCACAGGAGCCTAGATCTAACAGCTACTTGTTCTACGGTCACTGTGCTCTTCTAAAGATGCACTGGACAGTTGTACCATTCATTCCTATGAAAAGGCACTGCTGGATCTCAAGGTTGCAGATAAAGTGCACAACAAAGCAAGAAATACTGCTTATTAATCATTTCTCCTGACTTGCGGGCCTTGCTCTCAGCTGTGGGCGCGCCATACAAACCTGCTTAGTTCAGTCTGGGTTTCAGCTTCCATCCTCCCATCTGGAAGACCCTTCCTTCTTCTGGCAGGTGTGTAGTAGCGATATTGTGACAGGAAGGACTTCGCTTCTGTTTTTAAAGTGCGTGGGGTGAACGGCAGCTGCTTGTTAGAGAAGAAGTCAGAGTGTTTCTCCAAAAGATCTCCACTGGGGTTCTTGGATATGACCAGCTGGAACTGGTGGGCACCTGGGAAGGCACTCTTAGGCCTCCTGTCACAGCCATGGCTGCAGCATGGGCTCCTGGGTGCAGACCCTGTGTAAGCCAGGCTGGGTGGGGAGGTGCTGGGATGCCTCTGGATGTCATTCATGAGGAATTTATTCAGTTCAGGATGACGTAGATGCAGTTCATCTGAAGAAGGGATGAATGACTTCGACAATGATGGATACCTTGTCACTTCTTCTATTAACACACCCCGACACTGTGGTTCCCCTGAGGGCTAAGAACATTGATTTGACAGTAAACATTTACACCAAATTCATGTAACTGGGGAGTCTCGGATTAACTTATACATGTACCCTGCCTCCAACTCTGTGAGAAAGTACGACCATTACCTCCCCACAACCCATGATGGGCCTGGACTCAGGGCCTTGAGCTGCTAAGCAAGTGTCCTACCACTGAACTACATTCCTGCCCTGCCCTTACTTTCTAGAAGAAAAGGAGGGTCAGGGTCACAGACTCAAGCTCTTTGCTACGCCATATACCATGTTTTACAAGTTCACCTGAAAAACTATCTAATTTAAATCTTGTTTACAGCACAAATTGATTTGAATTCCTTTCTTGATAATGTACAGGTCAGCTAACTTACAAACGGATATATCTAAATAAGGAAACACATTCAGACACACAATTAGCTTTCCAACCTTTCTTTCTCAAAATAAAACACAAAATAAAGTGAGTATTCTGCAATAAACTGTGAGTCCTTAGGTTACTACTTAAAAGTACACTAGCTTTAAAAAAAAAACACTCCCAAACTGGGTTCATATTACAGCTGATGTACAAAAGGGTCAGCTCTCTGAAAAGACATTTCTGAATCTTACAGGGCTATTAATTAATAACCACAAGAAATTTATATCCAGAGGAATGGTATAAGCTAAGCTTAGAGTAGGGAGAAATGCATAAAGCATTAGATTGCCTGATAAGTCTTATCAGTGTGATGTGCTACTAAAATGAACCAAAAAGAACCTTGAAGGGCAGAAGTACAGAGCTGGGGGCAATGAGACGGCTAAGTAGGGAAAGGTGATTGCTGCCAAGTCTAACACCTGAATGTGATCCCTGGCTCTCACATGGTGGAAGGAAGGAACCAATTCCACAAGTTTTCTCTCTCTGTCTCTCTCTTTCGCACATGTGTGCACACACAGACATACATAAGCACTTAACTATTAAACGTAAATAAACAGAGAAAAAAGAAATTTGCCTAGACAAGGTCCTATGCTTAATGTCTAACACTGGAAAAAATAAGGAAAAAGAAATACTCTTTTCTGATATGTGCTGGCAAATTGCTTTTGAGTTAATTGAAAAAGACTATTTTCCTATCTCAAACACTACCTTGTATCTACTCTCCTCTTGGAAATCAACAGACTGTAGTATGAAATTAACTGTACTACTGATCTGCTTTAACAAGATTATATAGTTGCTTCCTTTAGTTCTAAATATTGCAAAGCTTGAATATTTGCATTGAATATGGGTAACATTTTGGTAAACCACCCCAACTAGAAAAACAGTCCATTGGAAAGTTCTAGAACAAGCAGTCTGGTGGTGTTCTGCCCACCTGCTCTGATGCCACTATGTTGGTATGTGAGGTGATTTGCTATAAACTGTTTCTGTGATTTGGATTCATGCAAAGTTCATGTCAAGAACATCTACCCAATTTCCAAGCACAGAACAACTGAGGAATCGATCAGTCCTTTTCAGGGATGGGGCAGAAGTGGTGTACTAAGATCTAAACTGCAGCAGCTGGAAGGGACACACTTGGAAGGGTCCTGAAAGTTGGCATCACATGAGCCAGGGTGAAAGAAGGAAATTAGTGGGTAAGCCCAGGCAGTGAAGATCCAGGGTTCTGAAACATGAGCTCAAGTGTCTGCAGAAACTGCTACGATACTAAGAGGCAAATTCAGCATCATTAATTGTAGCTATCTTTTCAGTGAAAATATTTTATAATTATTATAAATATTGTTAACAATAAAATCAACCCAATTATTAAAATAAACTACCCAAACTCATAATTTAAGATAACTTGGCTGTATTTAAAGTATTAATTATTAAAGATTATTAAAAATGTAGGCAAACTAACAGTTACTATTACTTCTAAATGGAATTATAAAAAGTGTATAAAAGCATAAATGAATTGTCATGGAGGCAAGCAAGATATAGAATTACAGATACTAAAGGGAAAATGAATAGACATATTACAATGTTTGTTTTATTTTACCTTATTATAAGTGATTCATAAAGTATATTAAAATATACAATTTAAAATTTTCAACAAACTCATCTCAAAATTATTACTTTGTATATAAAATGTTAGAGATTATTAAAGAATTGCTAGACAATTATAATAGTCATAAAAATATAGGGGCTGAACAGATGGCCCAGAGATTAAGAACATCTGTTATTCTTGCAAAGACCCTGTGTTTGACTCCTAGGGCCCACATAACAGTTCAAAACAATCTGTAACTCAAGTTCTAGGGAATCTGATATCTTCTTTTGGCCTCTGAGGGGACATGGCAGGCATGTGGCAGGTAGTATAACATACATGCAGGCACTCATACATACATACACACACACACACACACACGTATATATATATATACACACACACACACACACACACACACACACACATACACACAATGAAATAAATATTGAAAAAAAGAGAAATCTACCTGAGAGTGCATCATGGATGGAGAGATTAATAGGTGGTTTTCACGGAGCAGATCTCCTGGCCTGTGGTCTTTAGAATAGCGTAGGAGACTCTCACTCTCAACCCTACCTGCTGCCCCCCCACCCCATGACTCCCAGGTCTTTCTCCTGAAAGAGATGCTTCTATCCAACTGTCTCCTGAATATATTCAATGTTCCTAAGCACTGCGAATTGAACATGCCAAAGAAGTAAACTCATGCTTTTTATCAATGGTACCCAGAAGAAAGCCTGCTCCTCATCCTGTTATTATCACAAACCAGGGAATCTCACTTCTGCCTTTCTCTTCATATCATCAGATCAGATACCAAGACCTAGCAATTCTCCTTTCTAAGTGTATTTCTGGTGTTCTTTATAATGCCCTGGGTCAGCTTTTACTCTTTCTTTCCCAGATTACTGCAGCCATCCTGTAATTGGTCTGCTGGTCACTGCAGCCAGTGTAGTCGGTCTAAAGGGTATGACGTCACTGTCTAACTAAAAACTGCTTTCAGTTCCTCCTTAGTTCTCAAGAGGAGAACAGTCCAGCACTGCCCGAAAGGCTCCCGTGCCTGAGTCGTTCTCACTGCCTGCTGGTAAACCACGTCTGCATTTGCACTGGAAAGACCAAGAGTTAAAGGACAGTATCTGGTGCATGGTAAGCAACAGGGAAGCTGTCCTGCCAAGTAGGCTTGCCTGCCTTCCCTCTCCTCTCTTTCCTTTCCTTTCTTTCCCTCCCTCCAATCTTCCTTTCCTTTCCTTTTCTTTTTTGACCCATACCATGGATGGCAGGGCTGGAACTCATACTCGAGAGCATGGGCTCTCCATGGCTACTCTGCAACTGCGTAACTTGCCCGTCTTGAACCCTGGCACTCAGTAGAGACTGCAGGCCTAGGAAACCTTGCTCCCCACACAAGTTTGCAGCAGAAATTTTACATCATTTCGAAATCTGCAAAATTTAAGCCAAGCTTTACTACTAACTCAGATTTCCCCCATATATCAATTACACAGTGATAAAAGGCACAGGGAAAGAAAACTATGGATTAAAAAATATCAATTGAAGCTAACTAGATACCAATTCAATTCCAATAAACTCAAAAATAAGACAGTGTATGAAATCATAGCATGGTATTTGGTGATATTAAACAATTATTAATTTTTAAGCATAATAGCAGTGTCTGTTTGAGAAAGGGTCTCACTATGTTGCCCAGTGTGGCCTTAAGCCTATCTTACCATCCCTAGTGTGTCTGTATTAGCGGCATGCACTACTACGCCTGGCTATATCGTGACTGTGGTTTAAAGTTATGGGTACAAAATACAGAATCTGACACTCATAGCAAAATACTGTGAGCCGGAGGCAATGGCTGGGGTTAGAGATAAAAGACCAACCACCGGAATGAGTGGATCACCGTCACACTGGTTGATAAAGACATGCGGGCTCACTACAGTACTAATGTTTGCAAAAGTAATCATTTTAGAGTTGAATTCCATGGAAATAAAAACAGCTGTTCAGAAAAATGAAATTACAAAATCTGCAGATCAGTGTATCTATCACCCATCCCTCAGCGGAGAAGAAGCTTGTTCTTGCAAGAGACAGTAATTAACCTGGAGACCCACAGACTGGACAATGTGCAGGGAGTGAGAGCGCCTGATCCTAAATGTCTGTATTTATCAGACACTTCCCCTCAAGGCTCAGGAACTATGGGGAAAGGAGGTGGAAAGACGGTAACATCTGTAGGTAGTGGGTGATTCCAAAGACACAGCGTTTTCAGACACAACAGGGTTGGTACACATATGAACTCAGGGAGACTGTGACAGCACACAAGACCTGCACAGGTTCAAACCAGACAAAATCCCAGCGCGGAGAAGGGGAGAGTCCCACCTCTAATTAAGAAGGTATTTGAAACTGACAGCTGCTGGGAAAGGGAAAATCTGTTTTCAGGAGTGGTAGTGGGTGGATCAAACACACTCTAGGGCAGATCCCAGGCCTAGCAGTTGGTCAATACAAAATGAACTCGTTTTTGTGCACTTTTTGTTTTGTCTTTTCTATTTGTTTGCTTTGATTTTCTTTTTGAGAATCAGAGGGGGAAAAACATGAAATTGGGTGGGTAGGGAAGGGGGAAAGAATATGATCAAAATGTATGAAAAATTTTTAAATAAAAATAATAACTTCCAACTTCTATAAACTAGAATATAGAAAAAGAGGAAACCGTGCTCTGTTTGTTCACTGAAGCCAGCATAACCAGACAGAGAGAAAAATGTACACCAGTAACAACAGTGTTCAGATGTCAAAATCCTAAACATTTACCTCTGAATCCAGCAATATAAAACACCTTAATGTTTTAATCACAGCACTCAGGAAGCAGAGGCAGGCGGATCTCTAAGTTTGAGACTAGATTGGTCTACAGAACAAGTTCCAGGACAAGGGCTGCACACAGAGACCCAGTCTCAAAACAAGATTAACAAAAAACCAAATAACAAACAAACAAAACAAAAAAAAAAAAAAAAGGAGGAGGAAGGATGGACACTTGAATGTATTATAGCTCAGATCTGTTTATATTAAGGACACAAGTCATTCACTACATTAATAGATGAAACTGAAAATCACATCATCATTGCCAAGAAATGCAAAAAGAACACTGGATAAAATTGCCCATTGAGATCAAAACATTATATCAAAAATGTTTTTAATTAAAAAAAAATGATCTATTCATGGGAGAGATTCTGAAAACTGCAAACACTTCTCATCAAACTAAGAACAAAAGACCACTTCTTCAAACAAATGTTAAAGAGCAGCCAAAAAAATTAAACCATAGTCCAGGTCAGCCAGCTACAGCCTGCAGGCCAAGTCTGAGACATCACCCTTTCTAGCTAGGGGAGCTTCTGTGGAACACAGCGAGGAATTTATTTCCGAAATTGCTCATGGCTGCTTCCCCCTGGCAGGCAGTTGTGAGGAGATGTGGCCTGAAAAGCAGGCAGTAGAGTCACTTGGTGCTTGATGTTTACAGTCTGCTGATCCAAAGCTACCGAAAATGGTCCCCAGCCAGGCTGCAGCACCAATGTGCCTTAGAAACATCTGCTTTTAGAGAGCAGAAACACCACCTTACCTTCTGTAGAGAGTTAAAAAGGAACTTGGAATTCATCTTAGAACTGATCTGCATTGTGGGTTTATTTAATTTAAGCTCCTTTTCACACCGTGCTAACTCTTTCTTCAGTTTCTCTCTTCGCTGCTGATCTGCATCTAAGGAAGGAAGGAAAACTGTGAAAACGGCAACAAAACACAAAAACTAACTTTTTGGTCTTGTTACACTAACAAAGTCAAGGATTTCTCCTTTCCACTGCCCTTTTTCTTTGGACACCTCTCATCACAAAGGTTGGCTGTTCTAGAAGTTCTCACCTGGAGGATTCTCACTCCTGCATGGGATATGAGGCCAACAGCACCATGCACAGCTGGTGCATCTTTATTGCTAAACATGTTTGCACTACTATAAGTGACTAGAATATGTTGTATGAGGCCGCTTGTTCATTTCCTGGCTGCCCAGACTCCCAAAATAATCACACAGAAACTCTATTATTTAAATCACAGCTTGGCCAATCTCTTAAATGTATTGCTAGCTAGCTCTTACATCTAGAATTAGCCCATTGCCATTATTTTATATTTTGCCAAGAGGTTTGTGGCCTACTAGCAAGGTTCTGGCTGGCAGATCACATCTTTCTCCTCTGGTGGCTCCATGGCTTCTCCCTGACTCTGCCTACTCCTCCTCTATCTGCCTGGAACTCCCACCTTGCCCTAGTCTGCTAGGCCACTGGCCGAAACAGATTTATTCATTAACCAATAAAAAACAACACATAGACAGAAGGACTTCCCATATCATTTCCCCTTTTCTGTTTAAATAAAAAGGAAGGTTTGAACTTTAACATAGTAAAATTTAACATATAACAAAACAGGTATCAAGCAAGAATTATAGTTACAATATTTATATCTACTTTATTTTTTTATCATAACTAAGGAAAACTATAACTATCTATTCTTCAACTCTATCAAAGACTCAAGAAGGATATAATATTACCTAAGTAAACAGGAAGTGCATTGTAAGCTACTTCCAAAACTCTAGAATTGTTAGAGACATCTCGCTGCCTGGACAGTCACCCAAGTTCTTCTATAATGTTGGAGCATCCATCTTCAGCCTACTGCCCCATAGTAGCCAGCAGACTTTTCCATGAAGCAGGAAATTTCAAAGACAGTTTCACCTATATTGGTGGTTTGTCAGTCACTTTCTTCTGTTTCCTGCAGAATGTCTGGCAGACTCTTTCATGAAGCAGGAACCCTGAAGGGCAGTCTCACCTTTAGTCAAGTTCAGCAGTGATTTCTCTATGGGTCCTGCATGTCCAGTTAATCAAGCAGTCCAGGCAAGAGCAGTTTCTTGCCCAAATGGCTAACAAACCCCATAAGAAGTCTTCGATGTACGTCATTCTCTTGAAATAGATTGGTGCTGCCAGGAGCACCAATCATGAAAAATCCTAAAATTCTTAAAACATTTTAAGTGCCATATTCTGTAGTCTTTGAAAGGTTTGAAGAATATCTATCTAACTGAAATATATCGGTATATATATATCTAACATGACTACAAGCTTGACTATTATAGATGACTATCTATTAACCTGTATTTCTTTACATTACATTTCCAAATGAGCTGCACAAACACAATACTTTAATCAAGAGCAGAACATACATGCAACAAAATTGACCCTAAATCTATATCAATAAACCAAGATTCATACCAATGCAAAGTATTCACCTCTATATCACATCCCCTTTTAAATGTAAATAAACATTTATAAACAATATTTGAGAATTTGGGCAAAGTTCTCTCCAAACTACTTCCTGCCGTTTATTGGGCAAAGTAATTTTTGGGGTATTCATGAAAACCTTTCATGTTGTTTGGTTCATCAAACCACATTAGTCTGGAAGATTTCACAGGTTCTCATTCTCTGTGGAAACAAAAGTAGAACCTCTTTTCCAAAATAACATACCCTTAGACCCAATTCTGAAGTCATGATACCTTTAAAATATATAGGTTGGTTTAGCTTAGCAGCCCATACAATGAAATGCCTTTCTGTCCTTAGCTCCTTCACAGCCAAAATATTCAAAGAAAACACAATAATATACATAATCCAGACTCTCTGTGTATATTCCATCTTTACGTGCCTTATTTTTCTTACCCTATTATTTTTTCTACAAGTTTAATACTTACTTTCTTTACTCCTTTAACCTATGACTGTCTGTACTCTTTTATATTACATTTACTGTCTCCTTCCTCTTTTTCTTTTCTCTCCCAACCATACGTACATTTTAAAAGCACACTGTGTCTCAATTAGAGGTCTTTTATGTTTGAATCTGTCCTAATGTGTATCAGTAATCCTTTTCTGTACAGGAGCACTTCTTAAAATGCTAAGCGCTTTTTCTTTTATTTATATTTTATTGATTTTTATTTAGCTCTACATTCTTCCTTGCTCCCAGCCCTGCCTCTCCCAAGTTCCCCATGCTCCCAATTTACTCAGGAGATCTTGTCTTTTTCTACTTCCCATGTAGATTAGATCTATGTATGTCTCTCTTAGGGTCCTCATTATTGTCTAGGTTCTCTGGGATTGCGAACTGTAGGCTGGTTTTCTTTGCTTTATGTTAAGAAACACTTATGAGTGAGTATATATGATAAGTGTCTTTCTAGGTCAGGGCTACATCACTCAAAATGATGTTTTCTAGATCCATCCATTTGCCTGCAAATTTCAAGATGTCATTTTTTCTGCTGTGCAGCACTCCATTGTGTAAATGTACCACATTTTCCTTTTTCATTCTTCAGTCGAGGGGCATTTAGGTTGTTTCCAGGTTCTGGCTATGACAAACAATGCTGTTATGAACATAGTTGAGCACATAGTTGTGGCATGGTTGAGTCCTTTGGATATATACCCAAAAGTGGTATTTCAGGGTCTTGAAATAGGTAAATTTCCTAATTTTCTGAGAAATTGCCACACTGATATCCAAAGGGTCTGTACCAGCTTGTACTCCCACCAGCAATGCAGGAGTGTTCCCTTTACCCCACAACCTCTCCAGCATAAGTTGTCATCAGTGTTTTTGATCTTGGCCATTCTTACAGGTGTAAGATGGAATCTCAGAGTTGTTTTGATTTGCATTTCTCTGATGACTAAGGATGTTGAACATTTCCTTAAATGTCTTCCAGTCATTTTAGATTCTTCTGTTGAGAGTTCTCTGTTTAGGACTGTACTCCATTTTTTAAAATTAGATTATCTGTTCTTTTGATGATCAATTTCTTGAGTTCTTTGTACATTTTTGAGATCAGACTTCTATCTGATGTGGGGTTGGTGGAGATCTTTTCCCACTCTGTAGGCTGTCGTTTTTGTCTTGTTGACCATGTCCTTTGCTTTACAGAAGCTTTTCAACTTCAGAAGGGCCCATATATTGTTTCTCTCGGTGTCTGTGCTCTGGAATTATATTTAGGAAGTGGTCTCCTGCGCCAATGCATCCAAGTGTACTTCCACTTTCTCTTCTATAAGGTTCAGTGTGGCTGGCTTTATGTTGAGGTCTTTGATCCATTTGGACTCGAGTTTTGTATATGGTGATAGATATGGATCTATTTTCATTCTTCTACATGTTGATATCCAGTCACACCAGCACCATTTGTTAAATATGCTTTCTTTTTTCCATTTGATATTTTTTGGATAAGCACCTCTTAAAAAGGTAAGAGGTGGCATGACTAGGCCCAAGGCTGCTTTGCCTTTTGGCTTCTGCCCAGTCGAACATGACAAACACATGTTCATTGCCTCTGCAAGCTGGGTACACTGCCCAGTTCCAAGTATGCAGTGGGTCTATGTCGCACCATTGGGCAGTTTGTAACACGGTGCTCACAAATCCCATTTAAATGCTCGGTCTCCTGAAAGAAGCAAAGTTTGTGCAGGCAGCATGGCCCAGGAAGCTGCCATTTCAAACCGCATTTATTTTTCTTTTTTGTTTGTTTGGTTTTTTTTTTTCTGCTACCGCTGAATCAGAAATACCTCTCTTAAGGGAGCTGCAGCATGCTACCAGCTGAAAAAAAATGTGGCTAAGCCGTGTGTGTGTGTGTGTGTGTGTGTGTGTGTGTGTGTGTCTAGAATTGCTTTCCAAACTTTCTCAGGTTATACGTGGATTTAGTCAGTCCCACATTGGTATGCCAATTTGTTGGCAGAAGGCTGCTTGTTCGTTCACGGCTGCCCAGTCCATGAAATACTCATGCATAAACTATATTATTTGCAATACTGTTTGGCCAATAGCTTAAGCATCTTTTTAGTTAGCTCATACCTTAATTAACCCATTTCTATTATTTTATACTTTACCACAAGTCTCATGGTTTACCAGCAAGGTTTCAGCACATCTGTCTCTGGCAGCAGCTCCATGGCTTCTCCCTGACTCTGCTTACTCTCTCATCCTCTATCTGCCTCGAATTCTCGTCTTGCCCTATTCTGATAAGCCACTAGCCAAAGCAGATTTATTTATTAACCAGTAAAAGCAACACATAGACAGAAGGACTTCCTATATCAAAAATCTATGTGATTTTCTGTATAAAGATTCTAACTAATATGTAAGTTATAAAAATTTGAAACAGACACTATAGGAAGGAAAATCACTTGAGCCAGGAATTCAAGATCAGCTTGAGAGCAACAACTTGTCTCAAGAACAAGCAAAACAACAAAGCCACGCTAACATTTTAAAAACATCTGCAGTCTTGGCAACTGACTTCAGTTTCACTAGCAGAGAGGTAGTTTCATACTTCGGTGTGCTTTTTCATGGGTGCTGAAGATGGGTAGCAAGCAGTCTCACCCTCTGAGCCACGTGACTCCTGTCCTAGGTTTACTTCTTACAGTGACGTAAATGTATCTCAGTAGTCAAGAAGCTTACATGAAAATAAGAGCAAGCTTCCCTTATTCTCCAAGTATAATTAAATAGCATCAGTGCTAATAAGTAAACACAGGTCTATCTAAACCAAACTAGCACTGAAATAACTACATAGAAGAATTTTTTTTAATGCTATTCGAATTCTCAAGAGGATGTTTTTCTTTCCAATCTGTTTTGAAGTTATCTGCCAGGGGACATTTTAGATTGTCTCTGGATCTTAGCTATTAGGAGTAATGTTACATAACATAGGGGTGTGCATATCTGTGTGCCCCTACCAGGCTGGCATGTGGGTAAGCATATTGGACATTTTCTTTAAATGTAGTAGGGCTCAACTTACTGTATATGGTGTCAACCTTACATACGTGATCTTGAGTTGTATAAGAAAGCAAGTTGGAAAGCCTATCAGCAGCATTCATTTAGAGACTCTGCTTTAGTTCCTACCTCCAGGTTCCTGCCTAGAGTTCCTATCCTGACTTCCCTCAGTAATGGAGACCCCAAGTTGCTTTTGGTCATGTTTATCACAGCAATAAAACCCTAATTAAGAGAGAGTTTTTAAAAATCATGAATGAATGAATCTGCCAAATGTTTCTTCTGCATCATGTGGTTCTTCCCTTTTCCTTTGTTAATGTGATTCATGGTATGTTCAGCCATCTTTGCACAACCCATTTGTTCGTGGTAGAAGTTTCTTTTTAAAAAGTGCTACTGAACTTGCTGTTTCAATCGCCTATGGTCTATTCAGGTTTTCCACTCTTGGTTCAGTTTGCTAGGCTATGCATTTCTCGGATTTTATCCAGAATCTTTCTTCTAGGTGATTCAATTTGTTGGTGTGTAACTGCTCACAATAGTCCATGATCACTTTTATCTCTTAGGCCTCTGTTGTAATGGCTCTTCTTCCATTTCTGATTTTAGCCTTCAGTTTGCTCAAGAGTCTATCAGTTTTGTGTTTTCAGGGAACCAATTATTGCTTTTTAAAGTGTTCTTGTTTTTCTGTATCTCTTCTGGAATCTTTATCACTTCCTTCCCTCTACTAACTGGGAGCTGCTTTTCCTTTCTTGTTTGTTTTCTTTTTCCGTTTTTGCACTGTGCTGACATGAGGTCTCATGCATGTGAAGCAAGTGCTGTACGGTGAGCAAGCTGCAGCCTCAATTATGTTTCACGTTCCTGAGATTTACACTGTCGTTCTTTGAGATCCTCTTTCTTCTATAGGGTAGCATTTGCACCTTAGTATTGGCTGCTGTGTTTCTGTTTTTACTTGGGTCAAGCTGTTTTTTTAAGGTTTGGTCCTTTTGTTTTTATTTTCATTTGCAGACTGTCTTACTATGAAGCCCAGGCTGGCTCTGAGCGTCTAATCCTCCCGTGTCACCTCCTAGGTGACAGGTGTGCATCACCACATCTGATTTCTTCTGGGACTCAAAGTTACTTACTTCTCAAATTTGTTTTTACATTCTGTTTTTAATTTTTATTTTAATTAAATTGTGGTTAAAAAGATACTTGAAATGATTTCTATTTTCTGAAATATATTAAAATTAATTTGTGACTTGATGTGATAAAGCCCATGGATGTTCCATGTGTTCTTAGAGAAAATGTGCAGCAAATGGGTGGAAAGCTTGGCGTGTTTATTAGGTTCATTTCATTAATTGTGTTATCTACGTCAGCTGTTTCTTTACTGATTTTGTTTGGATGTTCTTGCCATTACTGAAAGTGGAGTATGGAATCTACTATCACTGTATTGCTATCAATTTCAGGAGTTAGGTTTTTGTCACTATTACTTTATATATTCCAGGAGCTCCAATACTGGGCATATATATCTAGACCTTCCTATTGTACCCTTTAATGACTATCTTTCTCTCTAGAGAGAGTTTCTGACTATTTTGGTCTATTTTGGTCAGCAGAATGGCATCTACTTCCGATTTCTTTTTGCTATCCTTCCTATGTATTATCATTTCTTCTTATTCTTCATTCAGTGTGTGCCCTTATATCTAAACCAAGACTCCTATAAACAGCATATTACCTTTGCCCACTTCTTTTAAGATTGAGCCAGCCACTGTATACCTTTGGAGTGGGAAGTTTAATCTATTTACATTTAAAATATATTTATAAGTTGGGACTTATCACCATCTTGCTATTTCCTATATTTTTAGCAACTATTTTGTTATTATTTGGTATTTTTTATATAAATTGTTTTTTAAAACAAGGAGAACATGAGCATTTTGGGGGTGGTTCTCAAGACAGGCTTTCTCTGTAGCTTTGGAGCCTGTCCTGGACCTAGCTCTTGTAGACCAGGGTGGCCTTGAACTCACAGAGATCTGCCTGCCTCTGCCTCCTGAGTGCTGGGATTAAAGGCATGCAAACTACCACTACCTGGTGAACATTAGCATTTTAAAACAAACAAAAATAAACCAGCCAACCCAACTACCTCAAAGTGTTATATCTTCCAAGTGTTATATCTGAAGAAACTGAAGGCCTTGCCTGTGACTGGTGGAATGTCAAACTGTGCAGATGTTAGAGAAAACCCCAAGCAAGTTCCCAACAATGCACAAAAAGAATTACTAGGAGTTCCACAGACTTCACTTCTGGGTATATACTCAGAATATCTGTATGCCTACACCACATGTGGACATATGGTTCCCAGGGGATCACACATGACCGAGGGTGGCTGGAAGATAATGTGACTCTCCTAAACACACATGTACTTAATGTCACTGAAGAGAACACTTAGAAATACGGTAAATCATCATCTTTCTAAAGTGGTATTATGTTCAAAAGTTACTTACATTTGATGCTAGCATTCACACTTAATGGAATTGAGCAGTCCACTGCAGCTGAAAGAGAAATTTAATAATATTTTTGGTATTTATAAATGAGAAACATCAAATGTGTAAATCACAAAAATATCTGCAGACTTGAAGTTCTTTGCTTTTTTATTATATTTCTAGAGATTAAAAATAAGAACAGCTAAAAAATACTATGTGGGATTAATAGCTCATTAGATAATACAGAAGAAAATACTGGTGAAGATGAAAACATCACAAGATAAACCATTGCAAAAATATATAAGACTGAAAAGAGAATGAACAGAACATGGATGGTCAAATGCCATGTCTTTACCATATACATCAACATACTTGAATGCAGTCTTAAAGATTATTTATGCATCTGGTTAAATGATGCCAAGACAATTCAACAGGGAAAAGATAATCTCTTCAGTAATGGATACCAGAAATTTTATTTATGGGTAGGCAAAAACCAATACCCTTTTAGTCATACTATATGAAAACTCACAATGGACCACAGACTTAAATGGAAGAGCTAACAGTAGAACGCTTCCAGGAGAGAACAAACTTAGAGACCCTAAGGTTAGAGAATGACTTCTTAAACACATTGCTAGAAACCAAATTCTAAAGTATCCGAAAGTTGAACTTTACACGATTTTAATGCTACGATATGCTATTTTCCTCAATTATTTAAAACACAACCTAAACATTTTAAACTCTAGCTCATAAAGCTACACAGTTGAGATCCCATGTCACTAAAAAAGTAAATAAACATTAGGTTACGTCAGTAAAAAAAAATAGTGAAATGAAAGTGAAGTTTCCAGCTAAACTTGCAGATATTCACTGGCAACAGAGAGAGTTGGCGAGGACGCAGCATCACGGAAACACCGACCAGCAGTCACTCTGGAAGGGATTTGATCACAAGCTAAATGTACACATAAACATATAATGTGAAACAGAAACCTATGTTCACAACTGTATGTGAACTCTTACAGTGACTTCATTTTCCAAAGCTCAACCCAAATATTCACTAAGTCATGAATGAATCAATCAATTATACCAGATTCATTAAATGGAATACTTTTTCTTTAAAAAAATTTTTTTTTGGTTATTTTGAGGTGGGTCTCTCTATATAGTGCTGCCTGTCCTAGAACTCACTACATAGACCAGGCTGGTCTAGAACTCAGAGATCTGCCTGCTGAGTGTTGGGATTAAAGGCATGGAACACCAGTTAGAATATAATTTATAAAGAAAAATAAATACAGTTAAGGGATAGGAAGATGGCTCAGTCAATAAAGTACTTGTTATACAAGCATAGGACCTGAGTTCTCTCCCTAAAACGTACAAAAGCCAGGCATGGTGGTGCACACTAAGAACCCTGGTGCTGGGGAAACAGGCAGATCTTCAGGACTTATGGCCAGCGAGCCTACCCTAAGGGGTGAGCTTCAAACCAGCGAAAGACTGTCTCACAAAGAAGGAAGGACAAGTGAGGACATCCTTTGGCCTCTACACAAACACACACATACACACACACATATGCACATACACACAAACCCCATCCCAAAACTAAGAAAGAAATATTGGTAAACATAACACAGATGCCTCAAAGCATTGTGCACAACAAAAAACGTCAGACCAAAAGTATAGATACGTATTACTCATTAACATGAAATTCTAGAATAGGCAAGACTATAAGAAAAGTGAGTAGATATTGGCTTTAGGGATCTGAGGAGAGGGGACTGATCGTAGAGAGAGGAGGGGGACCTTTTGGAGATCGTGGAAAAGTCCCATACCAGGATTAGCACACAGTTATTGTAGGGCAGAGAATAAATGCTTCTGCTTTGCCAAGTGACACAGTTAGTCACAACTAGTTGACTTTGCATTTCAGTGCAAAGGCCGCCATAGCCAGTAAGAAAAGAATGAACACGATTGTGTTATGAACAGTAAATTCAGGTCTCATTCTATTTTCAAATGCTACAAATACCATCCTTTTATGTTTTTAAGCATCAATTTGAAATAAGCACAGCAGTCTTTGCTCATGAACTGAACAAACACAAGTGGCAGGAAGACTGACACGCACAGTTAATGAGCGCTTACTCTAGTTTACTGTGAACACGGTAGAGCTTATAGAGATAGAATTGCCCTGCATACTTAGAACTAGTGCATCTTAGTCTATATAAGTCATGTCCTAATAAAATCAGGACAGAAGGTAAAGTAGCAACCAGAATCTTCTTTGTATTACTTTCCAAGTAAAACGCAGGTTATAAAATTATATTAAAGACATGCAGTATCTAGCTGGGCATGGTAGCATGACACATCCAATATCCTGGGAGCCCAGAGCACAACTGAGGTGAGGCCAGTCTGGACTTTATATTGAGATCCTGCTTTTTAAAAATGTAAACAGAGAGAGCGCCTAGGAAGACAGTGCAGTCACTAATGTGTTAGTTATGAAAGCACAAGGACCTCCGGACATAAGAACTTCAGCACCCACAGAAAAAGTAGGCATGGCAGCCCACTGCTGTACTCCCAGCCCTGGGGAGATGGAGACGGAAGATCTCTGGGGCTTGCTGGCTAGCTAGTCTAGCCTTGGAATGACAAATTCCAAGACGCAGTGAGAGATGCTCTCTAGAAAATAGAGTGAATGGCTCTCAACAAATGACACCTGAGGTGGACCTCTGGCTTCTATATGCATATGCACATATACACACATATGTATCTGAATACATGCTTGTCCACACACACTCAAACATGCCCCAATACACACTCATAAAATTTTAAACAGAAATAGAAAAATGATCAATATCTGACAACAAAATAATATTAGAACAAATACATTAAATGAGCTGTCTAGGCATTATGTGGTTGTAAATACTAACATAAAATGTGTATCAACATAGTCAGTAGTCGGCATCTCACTTTAAGAAACAAGCTCTCTTTGAGATAATGTATTAACTTTGGCCACAGGTCTGTCATAATGAGAAGTGAAGCTGGGGTTTAAATTGGCACAGAAAATTCAAATTTTCACATTTTTACCTTTGGCTGAAAGGATTTTATTATAGTGAACAGCCATGTGATTCTTGACCAGCTGGAGAGTGGTTAGTCTGAGAGAAGAGGAGTCAGTGCAAAAAGCTAAAAATTAAAACATATTTAATCATTACATATTTAAACTTAATACACATCACAAAATACACAGTTCCTGAAGTCATTCTTAGTCATGTTCTGGAGTTCACGGGAGGAGGCTGAGAACACACGAGCAGGTTGCTGTACCCAGCCCTCGTCTTGCCCTGCTAACACTGATTAGCAACTCATTACTTGGGTTCAAACCTCCTCAAGAATTAAGCTTTACAGGCTTGAGAATCTGGAAAGGAAATTCTAGAATATAATCAATTAAAATAATCTAGACTATAATCTATTAACAGATTGATAATTTTCATCTACTATTAATAGAATTGATTACTATCTATTTTATATGTTTTTATTTTATAATTAAAAGTCTTTAGTCACTTGCTTGCCTACGAACAGATGACTGAGCTTGGGAAATCAAACAAACCCCAAATCCCAACACTATCTACAAAAATTCTGCTCTGAGAGGCGAATCTCTGTCTTTACAGCTGGAATCAAGATCCACAGACTGCTTTAAGCACAGACATAGAAAATCTATGCTGTTCCAACTTTTCCACCTCTGCTCAGACTGTTAAAGGAACTCTTAGAAGCATATAAACACCAATATATAAGTATAAAGTCCTATGCAGACATATTTTTAAACAGCACCTTTTTTGCATGTATATGTGTATGATATATGTGCATTTCCAAACGTGTGGGTGCATATAGGTATGCAAGGGTGTGTGTGTGTGTGTGTGTGTGTGTGTGTGTATGTGTGTGTGTATGTGTGTGTTGGTGCCAGGAATCTTCCTTGATCACTCTCATCTCATTTATGGAAGTAGGATCTTTCATTTGAAGCCAGACTGGCTGACAAGGCTCGTCTACCTAGTCAGCTGCTCTGGGCATCCCATCTCTGTCTCCCCAGGCAGGCGGGCTGCCACTCCCACCATGCGTTTAGATGGACTTTTGGGATCCAGCTCTCAAATTTGCACAGCAAGAGCCTTAGCTATTTGTGCAGCGAGCTGTCTCTCTGGCCCCTGAAAAGATTTTGGGAAGTCAGACAAGCTTATGCTTAAAACATTTCAACCATGAAATAGAATAGGGTTTGAAAAACAAGGGGCTTTCTTACACTGAAACTTACATTCCCCTCCTAGATCTATCCTTTAGTACTTCCAATCAATCCTTTTGGGGAACCTGCATAACAGAAGCGTGTTACTGGGGGAGACAGACCTGGAGGGGCACCTGCCTGCACTGTTCCACTCCCTCTGCCACGAAAACCCTTTGAAGCCATTATTACCACCATTTAATACAAGTGGAAACTGAGGCACAGAACTGTGTCACATTCCTCACAGAGGCTGCGGTGCTGAGTGGCTCTGCAACTGCATCTCTTAGAGTTAGCAAACACACTGCACTCTCCACTCTGCTCTTCTATGTTTAAGTCTGGCTTCAGAGTGTAGACGTGTGTTTTCCTGAAGATTAATCTAGGGTCTTGCACATACTACGCAAACACTCTGCCATGAGTTATATTCCCAGCACTCTTTTTACTCTTTATTTTGAGAAAGTTTTATTTTAAGTTCCCAGAATGGCCCAGACCTCATTCTGTAGCCCAGGCAACCCATAAACTTGGTATTCCCCTGCCTCAACCTCCCAGATACTGGTATTCTAAGTTTGTGTCACCAGACATTGCTTCAAAGGCTTTTCATTTGTTTTATTTTTTCAAATACGTTTTCATACCTGTTTCTATGTATACACAGTGGTACAAAGAAATATAATGAAATAATTAAAAAATTCATCATTTCTTGATATTTAAAGGGGACAGTATGAAAGTTTTTTCATGGAAACAAGGACAATAGGTTTCCTAAAAGCTATGCCAAAGGCTTTCAAGTTATAATTACAAAAATTATTTTAGAGTTAACACTACAATTTTACTCTGAAAACTTTAAAACGTAAAAGCATTACAAGCCATAGAGACTCAGCAACCCATAAATGTTAGCTGAGATTCTATCCAAGTTTTCTCTACACAGCTTTTCTTTAGGGTTGTGTCTTTGTTCTTGATAACCATCATTTCCAAGGCAGGCACGGCTTAAGCCAGACCTGGTGCTGGCAAAAGCAGTCCCTAGCTGTAGCAGAGTGGGAAGCAAGGAGGCAGGCTAAGTCCACATTCAGGCAGGGCACAGTAAGAGTTTGAAATTAGGACCCCTTAAATGTGTCTAAAGAATACCTACAGCATTTGATTCTAATTACTAATGTGAGGTATGAGCGTTCATTAAAAGCACTGTTTCATCAGGCCGTGTGATTTCCCAGCACAGAAAACAGTGAGTCCTTCAACACAGCCACAGTTTTAAGTAGCTCACTTACCGTTGCTCTTGGTGCTCAAGTGTCCTGTAAACAGGCATGGTGGGCTGTATCTGGGGAGGACTTTCAACAATAAAAACCAGGAATTAGGACACGTGAAACACAACGTTCACAAAGAACAATATAAAATATTTTTAAAATAACACATTTCATTTTTAAACAAAGTTGTGAAAACTTTTATTCGGCTAGGCATGGTGGTGCACACCTTTAAATCCAGCAGTTGGGAGGCAGAGGCAGGCAGACCTCTGTGAGTTTTAGGACAGCTGGGTCTACACAGGGTTCAGATCCAGCCAGGGCTATATAATAGGACCATCTCTCAAAACAAAACAAAACCACAAGCCATGTTACTATCAGCAGAAATATATCAAAAGCAAAAATCCTATGACCAGAGATTCAACTTTTTTATTTTTGGGAAAATAAAACAGGGTTGGGGACATGGTGGCCATCAGAGAATTACCAAAGACTTGACTTTGGAATCCATATAAAAAGCCAGGCATGGCAGCACATGCTTGTAACTCCAGCCTTGGAGTGGCTAGGGGTGGGCACAGGTAGCCAGCTCCTTGGCAGTGACAAACCACACTAGATGAATCAATGAACTTCAAAAGTTCATTAACTGATGGTTTTAATTGTCAGCTTGACACAATCTAGAGTTACCTGTGAAATGTCTCAACGGAGTACCTAGATCACATTAGCCTGGCCATGCCAGTGAGGAGTTTTATTTTTAAAGAAGTGTGTGCATGTGGACACTTGCAACACTAGTGTCTTTGGAAGCCAGAAACATCAGATCCCAAGCTGGAGTTCAAGGGGCTTTTGAGCCTGTAAGGAGATGCTGAGAATCACTCGAGTCCTCTGCAAGAACAGTGCTCTGAACTGCTGAGCCATCTCTCCAGCCACAAAGGAATTTTCTTAATTGTGTTAACTTCAGTTAAAAGACCGACCTGAATGAAGTCAGTCCCATTTCAGGGGCCAGGCAGTGAACTAAGAGAAACTGCGCTGAGCAGTAAACACACATGCCCTTGCTTCTCTCTGCTCTTGACTGTGGCTGGGACTAGTGCTTCAAGCTCCTCCTGCTGTGGCTCCCATATTTTATCACAGCAACAGAAATAAAACTAAAGCAGTGGGAGACCCTGTCTTAGGAAATAAGGGCAGAGAAACCCTGAGGAAAGACGCCTGCCCTTAGCTTTAGACCTACATACATGCACACATGTGGAACATTTTCTGTATGGGGCTGCAAGCTGGGCAAGTGCTCTACCGCTGAACTGTTTTAAAACTAAGTTATTTTAAGAACAGTTTACTCTGAGCCTTCAGTTTTACTAGGTCAAGTGATAATATATCAGTTATGTCATGTGATAAATACTGATTTTACTGTGTTCACTACTGAACCATTAAATGTTTTGTTTTGAGGTAATACATATTTTGGGTTATATTTATCAGTTTTTCTTTGAGATTAGGTCTTCCTATACTACCCAAGCTAGTCTTGAACTCCTGATCCTGCTTCTGCCTTCCAGGTAGTCAGAATTACATACACACAAATGTACCCAACTAAATGCTATATTTAAATATATTTAAACTTAAATTAAATTCTCTTTAAAGAGAATTCCAGTAATGTAAAAATGTTGTCTGGTCTTTGAGACTGCATGAAATTAGAAAATTACATAGAACTCATCACAAAATAATTTCTTTCTCCAAAATGTAATTGTATGTTCACCACAGCAGGGCAGTGGTGGCACACACCTTTAATCTCAGCACTTAGGAGGCAGAGGCAGGTGGATCTGTAAGTTCAAGGCCAGCCTGGTCTATAAAGAAAGTTCTAGGACAGCCAGAGCTGTTACATAGAGAAAGCCTTTCTGAAAAATAAAACAAAACAGAAAAATCTTTAAAACAAAACAAAACAGAGTTTTAGTGCTAATGTAACTAGTGTGCAAAATATAAATACTGTACCCCCCCAGGCAGCTTTTTTTGGTGTGGTGGTGCGAAGGATCAAACCAGGGTCATTTCTTGCTCATTTATTTACATCAAGATGTGTACTTGTTGGTTCCTAACATTCCTAACAGATAAATGTCATGTTAAAACTCACCAAGCTGAAGGGAGGAACAGATGGCTTGTTTTGTCTGAGCCCTCTCAGGAGCTGCTCCCTTGAATGGGGTGTATTTTTCTGTTTCTTTACATGACTTTTTTTATTGCCCAATGCAAATATGCAGGCAATACTGTAGTAACTATATCTACCACTTTCAACATATAAAACACATATATAATAGTACACATAACTTTTTATTTCTATAACTACTTTTATAACTGTTTAACAATTCTTTATACTCCTCATTTAAATCACTCCAGACACAGTTTCTATATCCTGATTGGACCCAGAATGATCCAAAAGTACTCTCAAACCAAATGGCCAGAAAGAGAATGTTCTCTGAACTAAGACTAAAAATTGGTGCATGAGATTGATGGTCTTTCAGGACAGTCAAATTCTTCAGCTCGGTTTCCTATACAATTTGATTTTACTAACAAGTGGAAGAAAACCCACTGAGGGGGAAAAAAAAGATGTTTCAGTATTTTCCCCAAATTGCTGGAACTTTAGGAATAGGTCATTTATAAAAGTATCTCCATGGGAGCAACAGATTAAGAAATCTTTCCTAGTCCCTTTTCAGCTAGCTGTTCTAACAGGTTACCTGTCTCCTCTTGTTTTTCCAGCACAGGTTGCTGATAATACAATGGACGGTGGACCAATATTCTTAATTTTCTCCCCTCCTTCCTCCCATTAGATGTTGGTTACAAAGCCTTACAGTATATCAAGTTGAGTTTCCCATTTTACAAACAACTAAGGCTCGGGAAAGTAAAGTAACTGGCAGAAGAAGATCTCATTAGCCGATATCAAAGACGAGAAACAAGACCTATTGTTTTTCAAGTTGGTGTTTTTTTGCTACATCACCACTCTGAAGGTTGAACCTACAAAAAAATTTGATTACTGAAAGCAAGTGAAGAACTTTTCCCTTGGGTATCTTTAGTATTTTGTGTTCTGAAATGCCTGAAGGAGATAATGAAATTTAAGACATTTACTTTTAATTAAAACTAAGCATTTAAACTTCAGTTAAATTAATGGTTACTTACAAATAATATGTGATTAATAACAATTATAGTTACTTATTTATAGTATATGAAAACTTGCCCAGGTACTTGGTGAATATAACATTTATAATGAGGTAACCCAGACCCAGAAAGAAAAATATGATATTTACTCACTCCTAAGCAGATAATAGATATAAAACAAAAGACAAACAGCCTACAGGCCACAACCCCAGAGAACCTAGGTAACAAAGAGGACCCTAAGAGAGACACACATGGATCCACCTAGGAAGATGAAAGAAGACAAGATCTCCAGAGTAAAGTGGGAGTGTGGAAGGCGGGGGGGAGGGAGGAAGGGAAGAGGAGAAAGTGGGGGAAAAATGTGTAACACATTCCTAGCCAAACAATTAAAATGAGGATTTAATAAAAAAAGAAATAAAAAAGAATATAACATTTATTTTACAAGTTCAAAGCTAGAAACAATATTACTATATATTATGAGCTAAGAGTGAAGCCACTTGGTAAGGTATAAAGTATAAACCCTTTTACATTTGCCACTTTACTTAAAAAAAAAAACCCAAACTTACTAAGTCTATTAATGTACAAATGCTCCCACCCATACTGCACAAGTAAAACTCAGGGGTTTTACATTCTTAGTCTGGGTCCAAAGCTTGTTCTGTCACCTACTGTGACACTGGGGAGATTATTTACAATCTTCTGTTCTATTCCAAAACATGGATAATATCTATTTAACAAGATTTGTGTCCGTATACTAGACAGGTGTTTGGTTATGCGTAGAACATAGCAAAATTTAGTTTGTTTTGTAACCATTTCTGAAGACCATCAGAGCATTTTGGTTTGCTTTTTCTAGAACTTAGGTTAGTGTGGCATCTGAATATCCTGTCAACCGACATTCTACACTAAACTTAGTTTGACCCATTATTTTAAAATAAAGTTGAAAGCGAGACTTAACTCAAGACATCAGCAGCAGACAGATTCTTAAGTCCTAAGAAAGAATACTTGTTTAGACTGTGGAGCTCCAACTTCGATTGGGCTGATTTGTAAAGATTTGTGATTGGGGCCACCAACTACTTCACACACTCCACTTGTCTCAGAGTATCAGTCAAGGTAAATAGGTGTGCACTGAGATTATGGGTAGTCTTGGGCTGGTAAACATTCAGTCCACCAACCAGCCACATTGTAAGATTACTACAAATGAGGAATCTCAGCTCACCACCTTGGAGGATCGAACTATATAACAAGTTCTGGATGAGTCAGTTCTTGGGAAAGTGACTGGGGGACTTCATGTACCTCTAAGTACTTAGAATGAGCCAGGAGCTTGCTACATATTATCTGCACGTAATCCCTAGGAACTCCGTGGGGTGGGTATTCTTCCTCTACGTTCGAGATGAGGAAACTGGGGGTCGTTTCTGGTAAAGAGGCCGGCCTGACTTTAAAGGCAGGTCGGACTTTAAAGGCCATGGTTGGTCTTCTGTCTAGATGATACTGAGGTGACACAGGTGGCAGGACCCTGAGATCAAGGATGTATGCAAGGCGACACACTCAAGGCCATAAAGCAGATCAATGAGACGGGCAAGCGGGGCCTCCCCCTGGATCCCGGGCCTGTCCAGCTCCAGTCATCACCCGGCGACACTGGAGAAGGAGCTGGCAGGACACCAGAAAGGCCAGGGTGCGGCCTGAACCCCCGCAGCCCCTTACCTCTCCGGCTGCCATCCATGCTTAGTACTCCTGCAGCCTTCGTGGGGGACGCAGCGCGTCCCCTGGGTTCTTAACTCGGCCAGGCCCCCGCAGTAGAGATTTTGAAAGACTAGCCTGCGGGGACCGCAGGAGCCACAGAGACCGTCGCCAAGTCGGTTGCTAAGAGCCGGCTCTGAGGCGGCCGATTATGACGTCACACCAAGGGGACGTGTGCTCCCAAGCCCCGCCCCTCTCGCTCTCCGAGGTTCTTTACGTTTCAGCCGGAAGGCAGCGGACTGGAAAAGGGGCGCTGGTGCCAATCCATTGCTCTGCCAGTCACCCAGAGTGAACTGCTATCAGGAAGGAGCGTCACATCTGTGTCTGTCACCATCCCACTTTTTACTTAGGTGGCTGGGATTCGAATCAGGACTTCAAACTTTCAAAACAGGCGCTCTTGACCAGGGAGTCATCTCCAGCAACCCATATCTTAGTTTGTAAACGTTACTTTGACTTTCCTTTCTGCATTCTGTGTCCCTTACCTGCTGTCTTCATTCTCCCTCTATCTCAAAGCTACAAATCCCGTTTCATTTTGAATGGAAGAAGGCTGTGAGAAAAAGGTCAATCTGTTCGCGGCTCTCTACAAGTTGTTTATTTTTGCAGTAGTTCATTGTGAATCCTTGGAAATAAGATCAGAATGGGGTGGAGGGTGTGCAGAAAGCATCCCGCCGCGCGGGGTTTCTCAGCAACCGGTTCTTGAACTTTTGGGCAGGATGTGTAAGTCTTCGTTGTTAGATAGTTGCTATATGAGCTTTGTGCCCATATAGCAGCATTCCTGGACTCTACCCACTAGTAAACAAACAACAACCCACTCATTGCATCCAAACTCCTGACAGTCAAAAATCCCGCTAGGTATTACCAAAGGTTGCCTGGGGAGGAAACTGCATCCCGCCAGAGAACCTCTGTTATCATTGGGGGAAAAAATGCTGAATTCTGAGTCAGATCTGCTGAATTTTGAGCTTTTTTATATTATATGGTTGATTTTAATGACGACTTGTCATAAGTTACAATCTCTGGAATAGGGAAATTGTTCTGATTGCCTTAAGTGATTTGAAAGACCCATTCTGAATGTGGGAACTACCTTCTGCAGCTGTCTAGATTTTAAGGTCATGGCAATACCTGTCTTGCCATGTCTTGATGGCATGGCCTTTCTTCATGGTGCCCTGTTGCTGCTATGACTGGAGCCTTCCACGTCAGAACCAGTTTCCCACCAGGAACTAAGGACCAGCAGCTCTCCAGGAGTCTTTCAGGGTTTGGCACTAGATGACTGCTGAGGCACCCAGCCTTGGGAACTGAGTGTCAACTGAATTGCCAGCCTCCCTAGTGAGAGAGTCACTGTGGGCTACTGAGACACCTGATGGTAGAGAAACTACTGTGTTCTCAGCCTCTCAGGTGTCATTCAGCTGATTTTGCTGTTTTAGTGTAAGCTGGCTTAAGTTCACACACACACACACACACACACACACACACACACACACCCATTAATTCTGTCCCTCTAGACAACCCTGACTAAAACAAACTATGGTCCCGGCAGTGGTTCTGGAGGAACAGAAATGTAGACATGAGTTTCTCTAGTGGTCAGGGTAATAACTGGAGGTAGCTCTCCAACTGGATGAAATGCTAAGCTTATTAAAGACTCTTCCGGGAGCATGGAGAACACTTAATAGTCCATGGTGTGAACCATTCCAAGAACTTAGACACGTGCATTTGATGCTCTCAATTCACCCCCTCTTGCAAGCTATAAAGAATTTAATGACTGTATAAAAATCTTTGAGCTTGTGGAAAAATAAGGAAAATGATGCTGCTGGCTGATTCATTTTAGCATCTTTGGACAAAATTAGAAAAGAGAAAAGAAAAAAAAGAAATGAAAAGAAAAGAAGCTGTGATAAAATTGACCAGCTCCAGACGCACACAAATAATCTGAAGGTTTCTAAGTGTGCACTAATAGAGAATCTTGTAGCCTTAAAGCTCGAGTTTCAGAGCGAACACAGCCCGTATTATAGGATTAGCTGACTTACAATGTGAAAATTATTTCCTAGACTCAAAGTGTGTCAACAGTTAAAGTGAGGCATTGACTGGAAAAGAATGGGACCCTGAGACTTGGGTTGGCAATGTGGGAGAGGACCCTAAGGAGGTGGAGGATGCTGACTCCTCAGATTCTGCTGCGCCCATTCTGCCTGAGGAACTCTTAGCAGAGGCTACATCCCCACTCTACTCCCGCCTCCTTCACTGTTGTCCTCTCTGTCTTTGCCTGAGGAAACTGACCCTGCCTCTGTCACAGAGCAGGTGATGACTTTATCTAAAAGAGATGTCAGAAAGAACCTGTCATTGCCTCTAGATCTGTAACTTGAGGGTTAGGTTAAGCATACCCCAGAGGTGAGAATGAAAGTGTGGTCCGTAAAGAGGTATGCTATGCCACTAAAGAACTTAATGAGTTTGCTAATTCATTCAAGCAGAAGGTTGGAGACTATTTGCGAGAATGGACTTTAAGGGGTGGGATAACGGGAAGAGGTCAATTGAGACAGTGCCTCCATCAGTTTATCCTGTAAGCAAGTATGTGGGAGCATTTTCACGCTTAATGATTGAGCGTGAGAGCCCAACCCACTTTGAACAGTGCTATCCCTGGGCAGGTGGTTCTGGTTGTATAGAGAAGCAAATTGAGCATGCCATGAGGAGCAAGTCTGTAAGGAGTGTTCTTCCATGGCCATCCTGTAGGTTCTAGCCCTGAGTTCCAGTCCTGATTCCTTCATAATGAACTGTGAGTTATAAGATGAAATAAACTTATCCCCCTGAGTGGCTTTTGTTCGTAGTGCTTAACCATTGCGGTAGAAATCCAACTAGGACAACTTACAAGTTTGATCATGATTTAATTTTAGCTTGGATGAGCCACAGGTCCCTGCTTTTGTAAATGAAAGGGATGGTGGAAATTGTGTAGATACAAGTATTATGATACGAATAGTGGCTGACCAAGAAAATGTGGTGTTACACAGATACCACGTTTCTTTTTTAAAAAGATTTATTTATTATGTATACAGTGTTCTGTCTGCATGTATGCCTGCAGGCCAGAAGAGGACACTAGATCTCATTACAGATGGTTGTGAACCACCATGTGGTTGCTGGGAATTGATTGGAAGAGCAATCAGTGCTCTTAACCTCTGAGCCATCTCTCCAGCCCACCAGGTTTCTTTTCTAAGACTTCTGTCTCAGAAGAGCCAAGCGAGGAGAGTGAGACTTAAGGGAAGTAAATCAGAACTCCTATAACAATAAAAGGGAAAAAACCCAGAATTCCAGTTATAACAACATCTAGAGCAGTGATTCTCTAAGACATAGGGAGGAGAGAAAACTGGACTTAAAATGCGATGATTCTGTATCTCCAACATGTAGGACGATACAGACTAAGGGGACAAAGGGGACTGGAGCTGTGGCTCAGCCATCAGACCAACTTCTGCTCTTATAGAGGACCTAAGTTCAGTTCACAGCAACCACATCAGATAGCTCATAACTACCTGTAACTGTAGCTTCGAAGGGAACTGAAACGTTTGGCTTCCAATGACACCTGCACTGGTGTGTGCATACCCACATGTACACACACACACATCCTCACATATAAAAATAAAATACCGACTTTTAAAAGACACAATCGGATATTATGCAGAAAACAGAAACTTTTATTCCTACTTATTGTTAAAATGCTGAGATCCCTAAGGCATTTATTGCACCATTAGCAGCTTAAAAATCCACACCCCTTATAATATTGTGCATAATAGGTTCCCAGTAAGCATTTGCTGAATTTAACTAAAGAGAACTGAGGAAGGTAACATAAGGATTTGGTTCACTAGAAAGAGATGCTATCTCCTCATATCAAAGCAGACTTGTGTATAAAAGTATTCTACTTTAGGTCCTTACCCTATATATTATGGTTTCCAGGTTTTTTTTAATGGGATTCCTGTGTGTGCAAACACTTGGGTCTCTGCATCTATATGTGGTTTTTGTTTGGTTCTTTTTCTAGTTTGTTTTATATTATTCTCATTTGTTTTCCATTTGTCTGTTGTATTTTATTATTGCTCCTTAGATGCCCGTTTGTTTTCTAATGAGAGACAGAAAGGATATGAATCTGGGTGGAAGGGAGGTGGGGAGGACCTGGGAGGAGAAAGGGGAGGGGAAACTGTAATTAGAATATATCGTATGGGGAAACATCTATTTTCAATAAAAGACAAAGTATATTCTGCTTTGAAGTAGGAAAGAGGCTTCTTGGTTGGGGTAGGACAGGAGAGTGGAGAGGGCCCTGCAGTCCGCATTGCCTGGTGCTTGACTTTCTCTGGGGCCATCCTCAGTGTTTTGTTTTCCTTTAATTAGTTATGTTGTCCCATTTCTTTCAAGAAGGAACGTGCAATAGGGTCTACTGATTTCTAGTTTTGCAGTGAATATATTGCAGTAGGTGAAATTTAATTTGTCCTTGGCTTTTACTCTGTGTATGTGAGCAAGAGAGGATATCTTTTCTCAGGGACAATCCAAGTCTTGGTCACAGGTATACAGCTGGTATGAACTTGTTGCAGGGGTAAGCTTCCAAGAACACCTTTACACTGGGGAATCAGTACCAGTTGCATTGACCTTGGGGAGAAGGCATCATTGTGAAGATCTTTTACTGAATGTATCATCAGAAGTTCAAGTTCAAAAATCATTCCAGTACTGTATTTTTGTTATTTACATTCAGCAATTGGTGCATCTATGGTTTTGAAAGAAATATATTATCCTCTTGAGTGAATTTTCAGGTGAAGGCCAATGGTTTGATTTTGTGTGTGTGAGCTGAAAAGATGCTGAAAATTATGATGTGTTCAATTTTGATATTTTAATTGTGTTCAATTTGATACTGGTATTATACTTGATATTATTTTAGGCTACTTTCTATCTTTTTTAAGTTCTCTTTACTGAGAATATGGCTTTCAATGTTCTATTTTTTTTTATTTGTGTGTGTGTGCCTCAGAATCCAAAGGAGGACTTGACTCTCCTAGAACTAGAATTACAGGCAATTATGAGCCAAAATGTGGGTGCTGGGATTGAACTCAGGCCCTCTGCAAGAGCAGCACATGATCCTAACTGCTGAGCCAATTATCTTCTCTTTTTTTAATGGTTTAATTAGATCTCTCTTATTG